TTCTAGTGGATTTCTATGAAGAGCTGAAAGGTATTTACACATTTCCATTTGTTAATTTTAAACATTTAATTGTACTGTATGTTGACAATAACAGATAGTTAGCGATATGGTAGAGAATATGGAAAATAAAATATAAACCTTAATCAGAAAACTTCTGATATTCATTTATGAGGTTCTAGAGATTATGCAAATGAAATGTGAAAACTGTAAGATTAAAAATAGTATTTTTATACTTCATATAAAAATCACCTTGCAGGTGAACTATTCAGAGTCTGAGTGCAAATAACTAAATGAAATAATGAATGTTTATTAGAAATAGTAAAAAAGGAAAAATTTAATATTTTATTGTTCTAAAACTACATACTTTTAGGAATGTTTTTTTTCTTCTAATTTCAACCCATTTCACCCACTAGTTTTATTTCTGTAACGAAATGTAACAAGAGCAATGTTACCTTCTCTCTGATAGTGAATCCGGGCACCATAGGGTTAAGGACTTGTAGAACAATTCTTTAACACCACCTTAGTTGAAACAGGTAGGTCAGTGTTTCAGCCAGATGTTGCCTCATGTACTTGTAGTTCTTAGCTGGGATCTCATCAGAACCTGGTGCTTTCCCATCTGAGAGACGTTTAGTAGAAATTGTGTTCTCGGAATTTATTATAAAAGAAATGTTCTTATCAAGATCAGCTACTGTGGATTTGCAGAAGTCTTGTGTGAGATTCATAAGTGCAACTGAGGTGGAATGGAGGATTTTCTTTCATTGTAAACAAAATAGTTTGTCATTGACCCCTATGGTAATTGGTGGATTCAGATTAAGTGATTTAAGTATAGTTTGACACTGTAAGTGCTGTTCTAAAACATCAGTATGGTTAATATATCTCAGTCTCTTTTCGTTCAGTTTTCTAAGTCGTTTGAAAGTTTTGGTATGGTTGAGATTAGAATATGATTGGGAAGTTGTAATGGAGAGAAGGTTTAGTTTGAGGAGGGTGGGAGATTTTTCTATTGGACATCAAGGTTCAGACTCATCAGGTTTGGAACTTAGTGGAGGATTGCTAGGAATATAGAGGATACCTGAAGGAAGGTTGTTTTCAAGGTGTGCAAAAGAAGAATAGTCAACTATTAGAAAGAGCTCGAGTTTTGGGTCTTATTTTAAGTCTATTACACTTTATATGTGATCCTTTGTGCTAACTCTTTTATCAAATTGAGAAAAGTTTAAATGTCTTGACAATATCAGGTAGTGTAGGTTCTTCTTCAAGGTTCTCTTTCAGGGGCAGTTACAAAAGACTGTATACAGCCTTATTGATAATGTTCGATTTACTATTTCGCAAGTTGCTCAAGTAGTGACCTGCTTAACTGTTTAGTACTTGTAATTTAACAATTATAAATGTATTGCCACCTACACTATAAACAAATGCTGAGCTGTTTAAATATGGACCATAAACTGTTCATATGACACTAAAGAAACTTTTCAAATCCATTTTGTTATCACAGTCTTGAATCTCATCTGTCTTACTGTTCCACCATTTACCAGATATTTCTGAATTTAGTTTGTACTACATTGCATATAGTATACAGCTTTATTAGAAGCATATGATGAATTTTTTCTTCAGGCTGGAAGTAATTTTATCAAAAATTTCTCTAAGTGCAAAGTGATTTTCTAGCTAAGATCAAAAATACTTTTCTTCATCTGGAAATTGTCAAATTTCATTTACATTATCTCTAAAAACCTGCTAAATAGATTTCAAACATTTTTTCAGTAAAACTATATTTTATCTGTTACTTGCTCTACCATAACTCTATACAGTCATTCAATTTGAATGATCTCGTAACCACCATAAAAATTATGAAATAAATCTAAATCACCTTTTTTTTTTTTTCTTTTCTAGAAAAATAACAAATTGTAACAGGAAACTACGGTTGTTTATCCTAAATAGCATAAACTCATAACAGTATACATCTGTTTCTACTTAAATTTAATTTAATAGTGTTATTACTCTTTGAGCTGCATTTAACTAATAATCCTGCCACACAAGTTGTAAATCACTTGGCAAACATGCTGCTCACATTACCCCACTGAATTAGGTAACACATGGGCTACTAGCAAATATCTCATTAAGAACTTTTATTTTTATCTTAACTAATCTAACCTAATAAGTTTCTAGTTTTTTACATTTTAGTTACTTTCATAATAATAAATAAAGAATACACAGGAAAAAGAAAAAATATAGTACTCACTTGGGTCTTCCTTTTTTCTGCTGTTGACTGTCGATGAAACTTAACCTTACCTTTTTATACTTGGTACTACTATACTAAATTTTTGATTTAGTTAAATAATGCATTGAAGAACATATAAATAAAACATACAAAAAGCAGACAATGCCCTATAACTAACACAACTTTTCTGGCTTTCTAAGTATAACAGTCTTCAAAAATTCAATTACACTCATCACAAGTTTCCTGTGGGAATAAAGTCTGAAATGGAAATAAAATAAATAATTCTATGTACAAAAAATAATGTAATATAACATGTCATTTGACAGATTAAAACTTTGGCTTTATTTTATTTAAAAATAATATACTATTAAACACCAAATAAAACTATTGGCAATTTGTGAAAAAGAGGATGTGATGGAAGGCATGGCAAGTGGGTCTGAGTTTTTAGTTTATGGCTCCGTAAACAAACAAGATTAAAAGCTATAAGAATTATGCTTTGCTTGAGTAATATTTATATTATAGTGAGTAACATATATAAAATTTCATACTTTTCAGAGGGGTGGTAAATAAATTAGAGAACAGGGAAGACCTATAAAGCAAATGACACAATTATAATACCAGGGGAGGATATTTTAAATGTATCCTTAAGAAATTACAAACTTAAAATATATAATATCAAAATTTGATTTATTAACATTTTGATACCAAGTTTATTCATATAGCATGATTTTTAGATATACACAACTGTTTCAATTTAGTATAATATGAATGTTAAATTTAGTTCTTTTTAGAAGCGATAGTTTGTTGGATTGTTTACATAACTGTGCGAATCATACGATTTTGTAGTTCAATTGTCACACATTGGTGATTGTTGTATTATTGTGTCATGTTACTTGAACCTTCTAGGTTTTTCTCAAGTATTATTGTATCAATCTATTGCAGTGTGTAGAAAGTTATATGCCTCAGTTGGGCTATTTGTAAATACACATCCAAAATGTACTTCAAGTAAGACAAAGTTAGTGAGATATATATAGTATAACAGATCTAGACTGTGTGTTTGTAAGTTTAGCCATAAAAAGCATACAATGGAACTTTTTTTAAAGTGAAATTATCACTGATTGTATTGTAACAACAGAGCAGAGGAGAATAATTCATCTTGTCAATTGTGTTCTAAAGTAATTGAACCAGCCTGTGTGGCCAATTATTTAAAGCTGTGGATACAACTGTAGTGATTAATTGCATAACATATATTTGTATATATGATGGACTTGTTTTAATATATTATTTTGAAACAAATGAACTGTGTGCTATTTGTTTATTGTTGAAATTTATTACCAATAAGTCACAGACACCTACTGCACAGTTAACCATATATATATATATATATATATAACCCTAACAATGATAATATGGCAGTTTAATTAAATTTTGAATGTACCTGTCCAAAAAATCATGGCATGCACACTTTGACCTGCCTGTGATGAAAGGATTAAAAGCTGTGTGATTTCATTATCATGAAACCAGTACTGATGTTTCCTGGTCTTCCACTCAAGTCTTAAGAGCTGCAGTGTAAACAACAGCTTTAAAATTTTCCTAGCGAGACTCCATGTTTCTGTTTAATAAATTGGTGGCATAAAGGTAGTTATCAATATAACACACACACCAGCTGGTTAGCAATGATTAGTTCACTTATTCAAGTCTGCTCAGCAATACTAAGTGAAGACTGAGTTTTACTTGGAAAAGATGATGATCAGTCCAGCACTTGGCACCTCTCATAGCCCTGGTAATCCTCACATCATTGATATCTTTTTGATGAACAATGATAAAGTTAATTATATGCCAGCACTTAGAATGAGGGCAATTGGATAAATTTTGGGATGTTGGAAACGTGTGGGTCTTTGTGTTCTCTTACATCTTTTGTGACACATAATTTTACAATCATTAGTTAACAAGGAATGTTTTTTAGGAGTAACAGTCCTTTCATTAGTCAAAGCTAAACCCAACATTAGCATTCCCATGTACCATGACCAAAGCACCAGTGACTACATATTTTAGTTTCCCCATGCAGTGTTTCATGCTAAGCAGTTTAATCCGGTACAGGTCAACTATGTACATTACTTTTTTATCCTTATTGCAGCTCAATCCTTCAGGTATGCTCTCTAACTAGTAAAAGTTCCATTAGTCTACTACAATAGTAACATCAGTGTCAACATTTGTTTGAGGCAATGCAGTAGAAATGGGGGGTTAATGGCTTTCACCATGTTTTTATCCTTCTGAAAGTCTGGATGAAGACAACTGAAATGTTTCAGTATTTTATTCACAAGAAGAAACATATTCAGTAAGTAAGACACCACCTCTAAAAAGAAATGCCCTACATCATCATTATTATTAAGGTAGGTATTTTGATTTAAAACCAAGAGTGGTCAGAAATTTGGATTTCTCTTTGCCCGATTTTGGGCTTATTGATTTCCTGATTATATTTGGATTTACATGAAATTGTTTTAACAGATGTCTCAAAGTGAATAATAGCTTCAAGGCTTATTTTATTCAGGCTTTCCTTAATTCAGGTTTAAGACTTCAAATCACAGTTCTAATTGATATCCTAATTAGCATTTCATCATCACTAGGATGAATCTTGTTGTTTCCGACTTCCACTTCTCATACCATCTACTCAGTGTTCTAACCATGTCAGAAAGAAAGTTGTGAAGAATATATGCCAATTTGGCTTGAAAATTTTCCAGAAATTAGTCAAATAAAAGAAATGCTACTGGATGAGAATTATATTTACCTGATTCTCCTGAACCTTTCATGTTTTCAAAACTTCTTTTCTGTTCTAAGTACTTTTTCACTGCCTACTACTGTATAGATGGATGTAGGGTGGGCCATCTAACTTGGATATGTTTGACAAAAAAGTACTCCTCCAGCTGAAGTGTGTGTTGAATTTTTTGAATATCCTATCTTTTTTCTTCCTGTTGTATACTAGAACCAATATTACAAATCTATATGCACTTATCTCAATAATTATTTCATTGATAATCCTTTCAAATACAGTGCTGACATTGGGACTACCAGCACATAGACTAATGTTTACATGGGCATTCCCTTATAAAGTATCCTTGTTTGCTACATCATTGGCATCTGCATGTATGAACATTAGTGTTGTTAGAAAACTCAATTTAACTTCCTTTATCACACTTGACCAATGTCAAATAAGAATATCCATTTGCTTCTTTCCCTGTGCCTTGGTGGTTTTACTGCATAGAATGGTATATGCATTTTGTGAAGTAATAACATCTTTAATCTTTCAGCACAGTCTCAATCGCTGAAATCGACCTTGTAACCATTTTGTGCTTGTTATAGTTTTCATGATATAACTTTT